TCCCAGAGGGAATTCAGGCAACACGTGCCCAGGCTGTATGATATGCCCACGCATTGTCCTATGTGTACTTGGTCAATGACCATTATTGTTATGCACATGTTACTGCACCTATTAGTGTGATAATTTAGTCATCTCTGTATCATGCAATTAAATATTTCTTAAATGTGTACAACCACATTTTGTTAATTTCAAGATACTCAGTTTTTTATTTTTAGCTTCTCTGAAATGAGTGATTCTTACAGTCAATGGCATCCTGGAATTTACTGGTAGACTTTTCTTTCTTTGTTGCACATGAACTAACAGTGTACCTTCTAATTAGGGTGGTCTGGCACCAGGCACTCAGCTGAGGATGGAGTGACTAACAACACAAGGAAGATGCTTTGACTCAGAGCCTCCTCAGTTTCTGAGAGACAGGAAAAGACTGTCCTAGTCAGGTGTTCTACCTGCCTCTGCCAGCCACAGACATCTTGTTTTACTGGGGCTTGTTTGTCTTGCTACCCACCATCCTTACTGTGAAAGTTCAGGGAAACTGCTCCTTACCATGTCTTAATTAGTTTTTGGTTGTTGTGACAAAATACTCTGATAAAAGCAACATAAGGGAGAAAGAATTTATTCTGGCTCACATCTGGAGAGTCTAATCCATTGTGGTGGGAAAACCAAGGCAGCAAAGCTTGAAGCAGCTGCTCACATTGCATTTACAACCAGTAAGTAAAGAGCAAATGAATACACATTTCCATTCAGCTTCCTTTCTCCCAGTTCATGCTTATCTAAGAAAGAGATATTAATTCAACAGTTGGGGTTCACCATTTTCTCCACTACTATGACTTTAAGTAATCTCTTTGAGGTTGTTTCCTCACCTGGATCCTAAAATCAAGCAAGTCTGAGCCCTTGGGCAGCTAGTGTCCCTGACACCAGATCTGTAAACTATAAAACCTCTGCCAGGAGACTCTGTGAAACAGATCCCTTTCTCTTCCTCTGTGCCCTTTGTTCCTGGGTCACAAGTACTATCAGCTGTGTCCTGGACTCCAAATTTACTGACAGTACCTCAGAGACAGAAAAGCCAAAGAAATATGGAAAACATTATTCCTTTTTCTAATTAATTTTGAAGAATAAGGGGTTCAGATCATCACTGTGTCAGTCAATTCCATCATGAGTTCTTCACACCTCAGAAACCCAATCAATGAGGACAGGAAAGCCATCACCACTTCATAGCTCAGTGGGGTGGGCACAATCTACCCAAAGTCACACAGGCAGAAAAGGGCAGCCCAGGATTTAAACTACACCACCAACCTCAACTGGAAAACCAAGTCCTTTGGTAACTTCAATAACAAGATCAGTAACAGGTGCAGCAAAAACTGGTCTTCTCTGAGTTCTGCTCTGCAGATCACCTACCTGACTTCATGATTTCACTTACTCCTTAGGGCAACCCTGTGAGATGGGCAGTGGGAGCACCATTTCCCAGGGAAACAAGTTGTGGTGCTGGGGGTGAAGCTGACTGAGTACGGCAGAGACAGAGAGGCTGGGATTCCAGGCTAGGTCAGTGCGACTCAAAGCCTGCTTTATGAATAGTAAGGGCTGGAATTTGAGTTTCATTTCACTGTTTTTAGGCAAAGATGAACACTCTAAAAGAAAAAAACAGCTGTTGGGAGAGAGTAGTCAGGAAAGAGAAAAAAGGCCATGCTTCCAGATGGCAAAAAGAAAGAAAAATAATAGAGAGAAATCCAAGCTGAGCAGCACACAAACCCTCAGGTCTCAATCTACAAGACACCTCAAAGGGCTGAAGTAATGTCCTTCCAAGTCCCCAGCATGGGCTGTGCTGACTCCTGGCCCCTATTCATGATCAAAAGCCTGTTCTGTATGATAAATATTTATACAGTTCATTAAATAATGGCCTATATAAATATTATTAGAAATGTGCCACAGGAAACCACATACTTCACAGCTGATTCTTCAGCAAATGTGCAAGGTGCTCAAATGCCACGTGAGGAAAGGAGGGGCCATGGAAACTGAGGCTGCCCTTTGCAAAACCAATTCGGCAATCTCCAGAAGGGGGTAAATGCTACAAATCCTCTGCTAAAAAACTAGCCATTGAGGAATTGTGCTGTCCCTGTGTTCCCTTATTTCCCCTTAAATAACCAGGTCACAATGAGGCTGTTTCCCAGAACTACAGCCTAAGGAATGGGTGAGCTTGCCTTACCTGCAATCCTGCTTCCTAAAGAGCCACTCCTTCAGGACCAGTTTGGTTGCTGACAGCATACAGAAACTGTGTCCCAGAAGCAGAGACAGAATTCAGTAGCCTCTTTCAAAGTTGATCTTTGGACTCTACTAGGAACTCTGCTCCAGCCTCACAATTCATTAATCGGTTATATTGCAATCAAGGTTTGGTAAAACTGGGGAAATGAAGAAATGCAACAAGTGATCCTGTCCTGTCCTCTTCAGTATTAGCAGAAAGAATTAACCATACTTTAAACAAACCTCACATGCTCTAAGATAATGAGAAAATTGTGGATAGGAGGGAGAGAGCCAATCTGGAAACAATACCTAGTTCTCTATGGGCTCTATCAGCACACCCATGGACAAATAAGAACAGCTTGCCAACAAGGATTTTCCCTCTTAAAGTGAAAGGTGATTTCCTATCATCTTCTCCTCCTCCCCAGCTTTGCAGCTGAGGGAACATATTTTTTTAAAGTTGTCTGGTTGCCAATCCTGATTCAAAAGATGTACAATCAAATTCTTCTTAGATTTTCAAGTATGTGGAGTTTGCACAATTGGATAAAATATCTTTCATCCAAATTCACCTGTGGCCTGGTGTAATAGAGGCAGTATACATGGTTTTTGGGTCAGGTCTGGAGTGACCAGCATGTTTTGTGGCATCAGGAAGAAGGAAGGAAATAAACCAAAAGCCATCTCTTGGCAGTGGCTCAGAAGCAGGCCTGGGCCTTACTGAGGCACTCCTAGAGGGCCAGAGCAAGCTTTTATTCATCAGTGACATCCACCATCACGGATAAGGTCAGGTCCACTGTAGGGAGAAGGAGGGAGTGGGAGGTAAAGGGAGGTGAAGGAGGAGAAAGAAAAGTAAATATATTCCTTGGCCAACAAATAATATCCACTGGATTCCTGCCCAAGAAAAATCCACAATACAGAGAAGGAACAAATATTGAAAATGTCAGTTCTCAGACAGTCAGACAAAATTCAAAACACTAAACAAAAACAAAACATGCAGCAGAAAAATATTTTGTTTGCTCTGAGGGTCACCTGCTCAGAGCTGGACTGCTCAGTCACCCAACTGGGAAGGCTTCAAGATTCCAAAGAATAGGGCTTCACGTGGGAGTCCCAAGGCATGCAGATCCTAAAGCACCTTCAAGGCTGTGAGGAAATCCCAGACACCACGGGTCATGAGGAAACACTGACCATCAAAGGCATTGTTTCTGAGCTCAGCAGAAAGCTTCAACAAGGAGAACAGTGGTGCAAGCTGTCATCTCTATCACCAGTGCTCACATGCAGAGTAAGTTCAGTACACAGGAGCTGATAAATGAATGAACCACTGCTTGGAGTAACAAAAGCAATTCTTCCCATATCCCAGTGTGTCTACTGCTGACTGACTTTGGGCAAGTCCCTTCATGGACATCTCTCTTCTGCAGTATAAAATGAGACTCATAAATTTTGTACTCCAAGGGGTTGTTGTGAAGATTAAGAGAAGCAAAGGGCATAGAGAGACTTTTAAAGGGGAAATTCCCTTAAAAACAAGAGAAATCAATGGCTCTGAAAAACAGGGCAGGAAAACTGTTGGAAATAGTCCAGCAGCATTAAAGGCACCAGGGCCCAGTAACTCATAGCGGTGCTCACACTCACCTCTGCGCCCAACACAGCACCACCTCCTGACCTCACAATTTTTTAATATGTATTATCAATCCTTCACCATATCTGAAATCTTAATTCCCAAAAAACAAAGCCCAGTGCTTTCTCTACACCAGAATATGAGGGAACTGAAGCTGAAATGAGTGATCTCAAATTTTATAGTGGGAAGCCTGATGTTGCTATGGTGTGGAGTTTGTGTCCTCTGCAGGGTCACCAGGGCAGAGCCTTTATGGATGGGACTGGGACCCTTATACAAGAGGTCCCGGAAAGCCCACACCACTTGAGGACATAAGAAGAGGTCAACAGAAGACAGTGTATGTACTTCCCAAAACCCCAGAACTGTTTGAAGTAAGTTTCTATTATAAGCTACCCAGTTTATTGTATTTTATTATAGCAGTCCAAGCCATCCAAGATACAGACATCTGAATTTTGAAAATCAAACATTAATGAATTTTGTCTAGTGTATGTACTTCAAGCAAAAGCTAATGTGCCTAGTAAAGCTGTATCTGGCAGCCAAGTAGTGTCATGCCCACTCAGCCTTTCTCCACAGAATGAGAAGTCCATCACTGGCCCAAGAGTTTTGATCCACTAGATCAGAACTTGGTACTTTTCACATGTTTTAGGATCTTTATGCTGTGTACTGAGCCAATTTTTATGGGAATTAATAAAAGACTAAGACATGCAAAGAGTTGGATCATCTTTTAAATTCAAACTGGATTTCAAAAGGCAGAAAAGTCAAATCATCATGCTGGCTTCATAAAATGGTAGCCACACAGATGAAAACTAGTGAGCCAGTCCTGAGATGGTGAGCCGGTCTTGGATGACAGCGCAAATCACGACCTTCCAAAAGCCACACAGCAGTCACAAAGAAAATACAAAGTCCAACCATGGTTCTGGCCAAATACACAGTTCAGCTACTAAGGAAATAATAGCTGAAAACCTTCACTCATCAAAAGACAACCCAAACTCTATCAATAAGCACTCTCTTAGAGCAAATACAACTCTGAATCTGAACGTACAACAAGGTAAATCCTTGTTAATCATTCCTGTTCTCTCTCTCTCTCTCCTCTCTCCTCTTTCCTCTCTCTCTTCCTCCCTTTCTCCCTCCATAATCTCTTCTGTTCAACCTTTATGCCCCAATTAAGTGCTTTCTTACCTGTTTACAGGACCTTCTACTGCCCTTCCTTGCCATTCCCTTTGCGGAGTACTGAGGAAGCCTGTGCTTGTAACACTCACCACTGTATATGCTGCTTCTCCCATTCACACACAAAGGAAACTGAAATGCTGAAGGATCAGCCTCTTGACAAAGATTCCCAAAGACCATCACAGAGGGAAGAGGCTATATTCAAATTAGGACCTGTCTCTGCCAGAGTGGAATGCTTACTACCATGCCTGGGAGGACAGGACCTCCAACAGTAACCAAACTGTCTTTATCTTAGGCACACTGGGAGTGAGCTTCCAAGTCAATTATCCTGAGAGGTCTTCTCAGATGATCATTACAAATGTCTTCTCTGTGTTCAGATTAACAACCACCACCTTATATTGTAATAAATCCTGTTTCTTGTACTTACAGATAAGCAGAATATAGTATAATATGGTAATAGTGGAAATACTGAGGAGGTCTGTTAATGCATAAAATAATCCAATACCTTTTAAAATAAAAAGAACTAAGGACTCTCCTCCTCCAGAAAGTTCTAGAGGCACTGTAAGCAACCCTTCTGTGTATATCACACTCCTTTTTGAGGTTGTCTCCTTCCATGGCAAAGAGCCTACTTTCACAAGAAGGAAGGGGAGGAATAGAATTCATCCAACTGAGTCCCCACAGACCTCCCAAAAGATTAGCTTCCCTTCTCCAAACCCAACTGACACCCTGAGTTCACTAAAAGCATAGGCTTGGGTTGACAATCTCTCATTGTCCAGAAGTGGGAAAATGCTTGAAATGGCACAAAGCAGGATGGAAGTCTTATCATAAATGCAAAGCAACTTTATTTTGATAAGTCCATTGCAAAGTTGAGACTGTAGGGCAGAGAATTATATGCAAATTTGGTGATTAACTTTCATGTGGACTCCTTTCTGGGAAATGAATACCTGACCCTTCTTTAAATTATGAATAATTTAAATATGTGTGTGAGTGTGAGTGTGTGTGTGTGTGTGTGTGTGTGTATGCATGTATGTATGTATGCAGTTTCGCCCCATCACTTTCCCTTCCAAGAGGTTACTGTTGATTTGCTGACATAAATAACTATGAAATGATTTTCTACGGAAGTAACCAGTCCTTCGAAGCAATGCCATAATCATTAGTGTTTTGGCTGAAATCCACAGCTTTCCCAGAAAGTCACTCAAATTAAAACAACAGAAGAACCCACCAACCTTAATGAGTCTGTCAGACATTGTCACATTCAAGAATGGATCAGGAAGCCTCAGGGAAAGCCACAGAATCCATTTTGCACAGCAAACTGCTTCCTCAGACATCATGAGGGCCAGGCTGGCTGAGGTCTTTGCCTGTTCCTGTGTTTAACCTGTTCATGAAAGGTGGCTTTAAAGTCTAAAATAAAAAGCCTACAGAATCAGTTATTTAAAGACTAAATAGTCAATGAGAAACTAAGATGGTCTGCCATTCCTGAAACACAGTCCTGTCAGGATTATCATGAACTAAACCAGCAATGTAAAGACCAGCACTGCTGCTTCTCTCTCAGATAAATCCCCAACTCTATTTTACCATAGGCCTGCTAAGCACTAGTTCTTGACTTCCTTTCAACCCTAGCCTTGCCCTATCCCCAAGATCAAATCCTTACACTGCAACCCTAGAGAACTACCAGCATGCCTTTGTTTGCTGCCCTTGGCCTTACTGTTGCCTCTTCCTGTAACACAAAGAATCCATAAGGTGGTTTAGAGAAGGAGAAATGCAATGGGTGCATATGAATCTCGAATTTCACAAACAGCACAGGAAGGGGCTGGAGAGATGGCTCAGTGGTTAAGAGCACTAGTTGTTCTTGCAGAAGACCCAGGTTGGAATCCCAGCACCCACATGGCAGCTAACAACTGTCCATAACCACAGTTCCAGGATATTCAACACCTTCTTCTATCCTTCATGGGGATTGCATGGCATGGGTGCACTTACACACATACAGGCAATACACACATACACATAAAATAAAAACAATAAAATTTAAAAAAGAAAAAAACCCACAAAATAAATAGTACAGGAGATATAAATCACAATAATACTGAGATACAGTTTCAACTAACAAATTGCAATCATTGAAAATCTGAAAATAAGAGTATGGTCAAATACTTTCATGGGAAAGTGCTGCATTCAATGACTTGGAGAATAATTTGGTGCTATGTGGCAGCTTTTAAAATTTTCTTTACTCAACAGTTTAACTTCTAAGAATTGATGCACTGGCTCATCATAACAGTAAACAAAAACATCC